GGATGCTTCCATTTAAATATGACTAATTATGGCTTTGCTGTTCTTGAGAAGAAGATTTTAAAAGGCTTTTTCCTATGTATTCCTATGTAAAACTTTGATCACCCATTGTGGCCCCACCCTACCCCTGGGGGGAGGGGGGGTCATGACTGGAACAAATTTGAATCTTCACTACCTGAGGATGCACCCATATAAAAATGACCAATCATGGCTTTGCTGTTCTTGAGAAGAAGATGAAAATGTGAAAAGTTTACAACCACGACAACGACGACGACAGACAATGGACATATTTCGATCAGAAAAGCTCACTTGAGCCTTCGGCTCAGGTAAGCTAAAAAAAAGTTTCATCCTTTTCCTTTGGAATGCCGTCGACAGCTTGAAGCATCAACTCTGTACCTTGGCATGGTGCAACAGGCCCTATTGCTAAATGTACTGACTGTAAAATATTCCTGAACAGCATTGCAAATAGTCCAATTTCTGAGATACTTGACACTTTAAGGGAGGGTAATCTCCATTTGACAGGATATGCTTTGCATGATTGAACAATTTATGCTGAGATCTTTCATCTTTTGACCAATTTATATGCACTGATGATATGAATTCAAAATCTGTAAAAGCAATGACAAATTGATGTTTGAATTAAAGTTCATAATTGATATTGCAATAATTATGATAATCAAAGAAGACATTTTAGTACAGTAAATTTTCATTTATACCCAAAAGCAAAAGAGCATGTATTTTGATGTTCTAAATGACATTGGGAATTAGGGAATAATTTCAATTTTACAACAAAGGGACCTTGGCAATGCTAGCCTGAATCACCTTTATTTCCTATTTTGTAAGAGATCCAAATCCCTTAAATGGCTAATTGAGTTTAATGCAAACCTGCACATGATCCAAATATAAAACAAGCTAATTCAGAGAATTGTGGCCCCCACTTATGGAAAAAAATGAGGATGGAAGAACTGGACCAAAAAAAAAATGCAGATGGAAAAAGAAAAAGGTCAACCTTAACCTTTCAGCTGTTGGCCTTAAAGTCAATTGGTGTCTTTTTTTATTAAAGAAATAAATTCAAGACCTCAAAGAGAACCAAAGTTATCACCAGGACATTATTTATTGCAAGATATGAATTTTTCAACTAAACCTTTTAACTTTGAAATCAAAGGGGATTTCTTTAAGTCATTGGGAATTATGATATAAAATTTAACAGAAAAAGCTCAAGGGAAACTAAAGTTATTATTTGAGTTTTTTTTGTATTGTAGGAATTTCCAACCTTGACCTTTTGACCTCAAACCAATAGGGATCTTCTCTAGGCTGTAAGGAGTTGTGATATGAAATGATATTGCAAAAGCTCAAAGGCTTTAAGAGATATTGTTCCCAAATTAAAGTGTTATAGTACATACATGTGCAGACAGAATGACCAATGGACAGACCAATAAACATTTATTGGGGGGGTTGGGGGGGTTGGGGGGGCTGTTACCTGCAGGTATTAGGTCATATGTTTTCTGTTAAGTCCATGACTTCTTCCATTTTCCTCCACTCTTTGCTCTGTAAAATAATTGAAAAAGCCATGAAGTATATATACCCTTATACATTACAGTTAATGCTAAAAAGGCTAATGCTGAAACATTTTGAATGAATCATAATTAAATAATTTTAAAGCTCAAAACTTGAACTATATGGACTGGACTTTTCAGTTTATCAGTCACATATTCAGGCATCTTCACCATTTAGACCTTACTTCACATAAACTGTTCTTTGTTATTTTACTTATCAGTAATGTGAATGAGCAGTTACATGTATATTATCATGATTATAGTAACTTGTATGTATACATTATAAAATGTTAACCACATGTACAAACTCTGGTTCACGTCATTGAACTGCATGAGAACAATGTCCACTTGGTTATATTTTTCAGTGTGGAAATGAAACATATTTGTTAATTTTATTTTTTGAGATATTAAACATTGACATTATCTTTATTATTATGTAGAACCTTAAAAATATTATATTATATTACAGTAAGTGATCACCTGTTTGGTTTGATTCAATTGTTGCCTTGTCAATAGGAACACATTTCTGCTAAAGAATAAACATTAATTTTAATATTAACTATACAATACTTAATAATCCTCATAGTTACATGAATACTTATAACCAGTTATGTACACATAAAATGAAACAGAAATCACACTTGAGATTTTATTTTTAGAACTAATTCAAAACAATATGCAATTGAAATTTTATTTCCAAACAGGATCGGATCATTTACATGTGAAATGATCAAGATTATGAAACTATTGAGTGTAAAAGCCATTCATCAACATTTACTGTAGAATCCTTAATTTATGTGAGTACTAAATATACTCAAATGAGAACAAGAATTAGCAAGTGGACTGCTGCTCAAGAGTTTTCACTTTTTACATGTATTTCAGCTATAACATAATAAAAGCAGGTAATTTTGCTTCATAAGTGAAACTTGATGTATAAGTTACTGAGTAAATTTTAGAAATAATTTGATAAAACTTTTACATATAATTATAAACACACAGTATATGTATATGTACCTTTAAGCTCTTCCTTCAGCTTTACTTCCATACTGATTTTTTAAAGTGTGTTTCTATACATCTTTTGCATATACCTGTAACAATTAGGAATCAAATTAGTTGATAGATATAAATCATTATAGATTGGACATGTAAGTTGTATAAACTTGATATCAATAGGTTTTCACAAACTATAAACACAAAGTCAGTAAATATTTCCAATTATGATATCACTTTGTGATATTATATTTACATGTATAGGGTTGTCCTTAAGACCTGTGGGACTGGGGAATTTCTTCACCTATAATGACATAATTCCCCAATTACTCTGGTATTGCCCTCTCAACCCTCACTAAGGGGAGGAACCCCCAACATGCTTTTTTTTTTATAAATCTGTTTCATTTCTTATTGACAACCCAAATATCATGTACAGTGTCTCTCTGAAAACTTTAAGGTCAGAAATTAAGTTAATTTCAATGGTTTAGCAAAATTTCTTAAGTTTTTAAACTGCATAATGTTCTTACCAGTTCCAACAGGCAAAACCTCATTCAGCTTGACCCTCTCGGTTAACGGGTTTGCATAATAGCGTCTCCCCTATCAGGTATGGGTGACAACATGTTCTTTTTTCCTTTTCCAGTGTAGACCAAGTATATTTCTGTGTTTGACACATACATGTACATGTAGGTATGTTTACAGAAATTAGACTGTCCAAGTCCCATAACAGCTGTATGGTTCAAGATGGTTAACGATAAGAAGCGTTTCACGGACAGAAATGTCTTATGTGCTGCATTTAAAATACCTTGTATATTCAACTGAATCTATTTTACAATCTTTCAACAAAGCTAGAGATCTTTTATCATAATATTGTCCTCAAATCAACACTTCATCTTTTCGTCTGCCATTAAGACATCACACTTTTAATTCCTTTAAATAAGGAGAGTTCCACTAAGGGAGATAATTTTTCTAATAGTTTCAGCCAACTTCAATCTATTTTTAAATTAGCATAATGCCATTTGCAACCAAATTCCTTTTAACTATATATTGATTTTGAAGGATTTTTGCAATTAAACTGATATTTATAATGTTTTAAGCGTTTCTTGGGTTTTTACAGCATTCTAAAGATAGTGGTATTTTAAACACATTGATTTAATCTAATTTTAGACCCCACTTTTACAGAATCAGTGTTGATAAATGAAATTAAATACAATATTTCTAGTTAGAGCACTTCCTTTAAATTTATTTAATATGTAACATTTGAATAAAAGTGCATTTTTTCCTGCAATTTTTTTCTCTTAATCTATGGGTGTTTTTCAAAATATTTTCATAAAATGTGCTAAAAATAGAATGTAGGGCTATAATAGGGATCCCCAAAGGTACCTGACAGTTTTGATACTGGGATTTATTAGAGGACACATGATGCTAATCAGAAACAATAAAATCAGTCAAAATGATCACAATGCCTTTCATAATAAAATTTGGATTTTGCATGGTTTTCTCGTAGACACGCATTTAATCAAAGGTGGCGGCCGCTGTCGGCCATCGTACTTTTGAGCTCGATTACTGTTCGTTAATATATCATATTTCATTGTCACTGATTTTTCTTCCTCTTACTATGATTTTTGTTTCTTTACTTTAATATTCCCTTCTCGGCTTCTTGGCTTTTAATTTTCCATAGTTGTCTCTGATTTTTCTTGTTTTTCCTCCTCGACTGACTCTTTTTTCCTTTTATGTCTCTTGTCTTTGTTTTATTTTCCCCTATTGTGATTCTGATTTCTCTTTTTACTTAAAGAGACACCGTGACAGAAAAAGGGGGAAACTGACAAAAGTAGAATTTTTGCATGACACATGCAAATTTTGTTCAATCTTGATATTAGGTTTCAGAAAATTAAGGTTTCAGAATCTAAAAAATCCACTTCAAAGTAAAAATAATTTTTGTATGTCCCAACACAAAAAATTGCTTTACTTCTTCCTCTTTATTGTACGCACGCGCAGAAAAGTTGAAGAATTTACCATGGTGTCAATTCCATAGATATAAATATCGGATGACCGAGGATTTAGATACAATCTTCAATAAAGATGATCAGAACTTATTCCTCACTTCTGATTGCTCCATTTCAATGTTGTTTACAAGTTTCACGCTAAAAATAAAAGTCGCGTGACCTAGACATTGTTGACATCGACGATAACAACTAAGCGGTAGATACAACCTTTGTTTTTCCGGCACTTACATTTTGCAGTTCTTTTCTTGCTTTACAGTGCAGTTGAGTTGTCCAAACTTTGCTTTATTCATATTTCACATAAATATTTTGTTTTGTGATACAATGATCTTAATAGAAACACTTGATTTTGACTCATTATGTAACTTTAATAATATTTTATTTACATTAAAAAAATGAAATTCAATAAAATTTGTTTATTTTGAATATTAGTATTTTCAAAGAAGTGTTTACCGCCCGTAGGAAGCAATTTCAGTTGGGGGCACAACAAAACATTTTCAGTTGGGGGGGGGGGCACTACCAAAAATTCCTTGACAAGCCAAAAAAAGTCATCAAATGTTATTATTGAAGGGGCACAAGCATATAGTAATTATGATTTTAAAGTATCCTCCATGTTCCTACGGCCATGAACTTTGTGACCTTTTCTGGAAAGCTATCCGATCATGATTTCTTCTACTGAAAAAATTAACATTTTTCTGCTTCCTGCAGTGGAGGGTCCAGACATTTCAGAACGGGAAGGTGTAGTTCCACGGGTCCAAGGCAAAGTCCTATTGGTGTCCAGGATGGGGGGGGGGGGCTGTCGAGAGCTGCCTGTGATAAAATAAGATGTACATGCATGCATATTTTAGTTTGTGATATTAATTAATATCTTTTGGAATCGATTATACAACAAATAATAATAAAAAAAACCTGAAAACTGCATTGGAATGGACTTCCTCCTTGTTGAGAATTTATTTCCCCAACCTATCATTACCTAAAACAATCACCAGAAAAAGAAATCGTGTAGATAGGTACCTTTTTTGTTTGTTTGTTTGATTAGTTTTTTTTTTTTTTTTTTTTTTTTTTTTTTTACCAAACTTTGTAATATTCTTTAATAGATGTGTAAAATAAATTATAGAATGTACATGTAAAAGCACGCCCGGTGCGCCAGTGCTGGATCCGCCTCTTGGAGTCTTTATTATAAAGGGGACCTTTCTTTATACAAATCAGACCTTTTCTAAAGCCAAACCACGTCCAACACCGGCTCAGATATTAGAATTACCTCTAGCCTGGTTCCCTGTTCTTCTCATGCGTCATCATTCGTCAAACCTCGGCAGATTTCGGTACCCTACATCTAACTAGATGGAATCGTCCGAGGTGATCCGAGTGATGCGTCATGTACTCCGCGGACACTAGGCTGAGCCAGGAAACCAGGCTAAATTACAACCTTCGGGTTCAATATTGTAACTACTACGTAACAACTCGGCCATTTCCGTAGCCTCAAATAATTTTAATTTGTTTGGTTACGGAAAAAGACGAGTCTTTGAGAGGTTAGCCTGGTTCCTTGGTCATCCTTGTCAAAGCAATACACGTAGCAAAACAGGGACTGGGAACCAGACTAGTTTAAAGGTTTGCCTAAACACACTGACGTGTATGAATAACAAGACGCCAGGTGTAAAATAAGTTGTAATCAATGATTTTGCTTAATTGAATGACCCTTTCCTAATTTGAGTCCTGCAATGCCGATAAACAGAGCAAAGTGCTTGCCACGACAGTAGGTATGTCTGCTGACACCACGAACTTAAATGTGGAGACAATAAATGTTCGAAGATGTTTTCTATGATAACACTCTAATTCTACTTCAGTACGTGAGAAAGGATAAAATGTTAAAGGAATTTTGCGAAGCAGGCATCCAATAACTCTTATTTCATCAAGTGTTCAGTAAATGGAAAGCTTTCTCGAATTTTCTCTTTTGTGACGTATTCACATGGTTAAAACTGGAAAGTGGAATGTGTTGATTTACGAATGTTCAAATAATATAATTAGCATTGTCGGAAGGATAGGTGGCGCTGCGCAACATGAAAGTTGGGATTTCGCGGGAAAGTGTCCCAACGAATACTACCCTTGAATTACGGCTTTTGACTTGTTCCCTGTAGATTCTGCTGATTTCTTTGGTTGGTAATTTTAGAGTAGTGACCTTTACCTTTATGTAATGACAAAAAACCGGGGAAAATCTCACAATAGTATGGTAATTATCGTCGTTGAAAATCTTGGATTTGCATTTTTACTATCTTAACAATTTATTACAGTGCTTCAACACATTTGAGTTAATCAACAAATACCTCTAAATATAATTGGCACCCTTTTTAATGTCATTATTGGCCGTAATATATTAAAAACACTGTGAAATATTCAGGTACCCTCAAACCGGAAGTGACTTGTTTAGGGAAATTCGACCTGTAAACAACGTGATGACAAACACGAGCACTGACTCGAAGTCAGTCTACGAGGTACATATTTCTTTTAAATTCTAAAGAAGATTTTGTAGACATATATTGCGAACTTGAAGAGTCAAAATTAGAATTTTTAAAGCTATGCATGGCGTATCTGAACTAAAAAAAAGTACTTGTACGAGATTGAGTGTAGATATAAATATTATTTATATGTAATCATTCTGAAATAATTGTATATGCCCCCTGAGGGCCCTTGATTGGTGAATAAACATATAAATAACGTTCAAATAACAATTTTCATCGCTTTTTAACTTGAATGTCCTCACATTTTATAGTTAAATGTCTGTTATTAAATGTAGCGTCGGTAGTGAAATAAATCGGTTATTGTGTTAAATTCTTGATATCTGTTGAAAAGCGGTATTGATTTAAATTTACATTACAGAAAAATTCTGTCTTTATACAATTTAATAAAACACATATTAAGATTTCTTTAATTTTATTTATCCGAACTTATAAAAAATATGCAACACATGACTTTATATATTTATTATTAAATAAATAAATTTAATAAAAATGTTTGAATGTTACGCATTTATAAATATACTGTTCCCCTTTGTATGTTTTGCTTTTACCATTCAAGAAGAATGGATTTTTTAAAACCAATTTTGATGGTGATGGTTCTTCAGTATGATTTTTTTTCCTACTTTGTTAATTTGAATTCAAGTTGAAAATCCTGTTTTATACCCTGACCGGAAATATATATACTAGTAATATTAATAGTGACCTGTTTTCAATGTCACAATCACTGAAAATTGGAAGAATATTTATAGATGACTTGTAAATAATTAAAATATTGAAATTCCATCCATTTATCATTTATAAAAACATGTTACATGTACAATTATTGATGTCAGTAGTAAATGAAATTTATGCAAATTGAATACAGTGTATATTGTACATAAATTAGTAATATAAATACAATATAATATGCATGAATTTCATTTACTTCCCACATCAATAATTATAACTTTTTTTAATGAATGAAATATGGATGGCATTTCAATATTTTACTTAATATATATAAATTAACTTTGTTGTAATACAAGTTTTCTTTCAATTTTCGTTGATTGTAACATTGAAAACGGGTCACATTGCTCATTTTCAAAGGACATTCTTAAATTAATATTTGGTAAGTGGTTACTGCCTTATTTTATAGGAAGGAATGTATAAAAACACATTAATGAAAAAAAAATTGCCAGAAATCAAATATTTTTCAAGTTTCAAAGCTGGGACAACTTTCTTTGATAAACGGGAAAAATGCTTCTTTTACTGCCGAGGGGGTTACCCTAAGAATGTGTCTAACAAACACCCATAATAGAATATTTTATTAATTTTTTTTAAGAAAAGCAATGTTTTATCATTAAACTACAAAATACAATTGCAGAAAACTCTACAAGCATACTTTTAAATTTTGGTCTGGCATTGCTAATATAATATATTTTTTTAATTTCATTTTTGTAGTGGGAACATAACAACACTTTCAGTGGAAACAGAACAGAAATTATTTTATGTGAGATGTCAAGATTATTGATTGGTGTTCGACTTGTAACATGTGTTAGCTTGATTCTTTTTACTATAAGCTGTTATAATATGATGGTTAAAAGTGAAAAGGCTTCAAACAAGAAACAACAGACAAATGGTGGATCAACTCCTGCAGACCTTCCAAAACGTATGAAACCTGTAGGTCCTGCTACAGAACCTAGTGAACCTGGATCCGTGACTCACAGAACCAGTGCTCTTACAGTTGTTCCTGATTCTGAAGATGAAGAGGATGGTAAGTTTGCATAAATATCATGGATGTTTGGTGATCAGGCAGGTTTGTATCCCGGCAGGCAAGATATCATGGATGTTTGGTGATCAGGCAGGTTTGTATCCCAGGCAAGATATCATGGATGTTTGGTGATCAGGCAGGTTTGTATCCCAGGCAAGATATGTGTAGCTTAAATGGTGTGAGTGTCTGTCTAAAGTTCAGAGGATGTGGGTTACTTCCTGCTTTTTCTCCAATCGATCATGTAACATTTGGTACTGTGCTCTTGTAGAGGTGAACATGTCTTATGGATTACATTTATCTATTTTAGCTACAGTCACTACAGAGGATGAAAATACACCAGATTTTAGTAACATGGATGTTTTCTACCCAACAAAGGAATGGCAGGAGCTAAAGCCAGGTAAAATGGTGTATGTCCAGGGTTGAATCCCCCCCCCCTCCCCCCCCCCTTTTGCCCCTGAAAATAGCAGCCAGTCACATGGCTTGCTACACACAATAGTTCTTTTATAATTTTTATGTCATTTTTTGATCAACATCATTTATGATTGTGACATACAGAATGAAACTTCACTTTTTATGCCTTTCAACATGAAAAAAATAAATCTTTTGATCATTTAGACTGTACTTGCAATTTACAACATGTAGCTACCAATTGATTTTTAGCTCACCTTGACAAAGTTGAGGTGAACTTAAGCTATGCTATAGGTGTTAGTGTCAGTGTTGGTATTGGCATATGGGTTAAAATTTTAAGAACAAGTCTATTCTCAAGTAATTATAGACCTAACTTACCTGGACACATCTTCGCTAGCCAAGGGTTTCTGATACGCTACTCTCCTCATAAACCCTTGGCATACGGTGCTGACAAAAGACGGGATTGTTTTTGTCACATGATCATGATTCTTACCAGGTACGCGCAGATTGCGTCATCGACAGAAATAAAAAGCGTATTTAAAAAAATTGTTTTTAAAGAATAATTAACAAGAAGGTATTGAGTTATGTTAGTTTGTTATTTAAACATGTAAAAATGCAAATCTACATCTTCAGTATAGATTCTTAATCACATATTTTGCACGTATAGCTTTAGATATTGGATGACACCATATAGCTATTCATAGAATGACATGTTATCTTACGGATCATTGTTTACTTGCATTTTACATTACCGATATTAAAGAGTCAAGATATATCCCGAACGCAAATGTCGTCATTTACAAAAAACAATTGCTGATTGGTCGAACGATGTCGATCAACTCCAATCACAACTCGAGAAAAAAATCCCAACTCTTTTAACACCGTATGCCAAGGGCATATGAGGAGAGTAGCGTATCAGAAACCCTTGGCTGGCGAAGATGACCTGGACAAAGCTTTTAAGGTTGATGCATGTGTGGTAGGGATACACGCACATGTATACTAAGAGACTTGCTTTGGTTGCTGGATCTGACCAACATTTTGCAGATGGGTGACCAGAGTAAAGTATTTTGGAGCAGGTCCATTTCAAATTACTATAAGCCAATAGTGACTAAACTTGCATGGATGATGCATCTAGAGATGCAAAGTACCAAACCTGCTTCAGATGCTGGATCTGACCTACTTTTTTAAGATATGTGACCAGGTTAAAATTTTTGGTACTTCTAGGTAAGTTTGGTGAAGATAATCTCAAAATCTTTGATTACTAATGTTTTTTGCCATTAAAAAATCTACAATTTTCAAGAAGTAAGCACAAGAAGCTTACACATTTAAATGTATATTTAATGAAAACACACACTGTTTTGAAAAGGTCAAGCCATTCCAAAAGGGCTGCATGTAAGATTGAACATGCAGACTGGTCAAAGAGAGGCCAAGCTAATGGATGGAGATAGTGGACTCAAGTACTGGGCCAAGGATGGAAAACAAGGTAAATAATTATAGGAACTTTCAGTTCAGAGCAGGAGTTGTCTCACTGTTGCATTAGAACTGTTTTTCTTTTCCTTAATTTATTAATTAATTATTACTTAAATTATTGAATGCTAGCATCATCAATGTTAACAATTTGATGGATGTCCTAAGTTTGTCATTTTTTGAGGTTCGAAAAATTTCATATTATCAAGTAACTTTTTTATTGAATTCAAGAAGAGAGATATATTGTAATTCAACTAAATTTAGTTCTAGGTCTATTTAAATTAAAACATTGACCTAGCAGGAAGAACAACTCTTAGTAGAATTTAAGCTCAACAAGAAAATCAAAATTGCAGCAAAATTGGTGAAATATATAATGATACTGAACATAAATGTCTCTCAGTTGGTAACTAGTACTGAACATATTAAATATCTCTCAATTGGTAACTACCATATTATAGTACAATAAAATGTGTGAACTTTTACCAAAATAAATCTTTTCATGATTATCTTAATTTTCATTGACCTGATTGAATCAACTGTTTAACCAAAATAAATCTTTTCATTATTATCTTAATTTTCATTGACCTGATTGAATCAACTGTTTAGCATGTTCAGAAATCCTTAAATAATAGTTTTGCTTCATTTGAACTTTGAGTTATTTTAACACAATCAGTTGGGCTACCTTGAGACAAAATAAACCAGACCAAACCAAATTTTTACTAGTCTGAGTCGGTCATTCATACCTTAATGTTGAGCCCTGCCGAGTCAGAGAAAAGAAAAGTAAATTTATTTGTTATTTCCACAAATGAAGAAGAATGAACTGAATTTTGATGGTAAAAGCTTTGGACAAACATGTGACCTACAGAAGTAGACTGACAGCTTGTTACAAGAGGACTTTATTGTAGGGATTGTCAACACAGACAAAGATTACTTTACACCTGAGGATCTGAAGAAAGCCCTGAAAGAATTCAAAGTCAACAAGATAGATGATGAAGATACTGAGGTACAAATTTTAATCTGTCAAACCTGTATTAAAAGACCATCCAATGGAGAAAGGAAGAAAAAAGGTCACATATGACAGGTGCTCTTTTAATACAGGTTACTTATTTTCTGCAGTGTTCAAAGGCATAATATTTATTCAACAAATAATATACAATCATGGAAACATGTTCATGCATTTTGAATTATTTTATATCATATTCTGTTTATATTTGACTTTAAGTATTGTTCAACTGTAAATTGGTCATACATTGTATATTTTGGAGTACATTCAGCATTGTAAATTGTGCCCTTGATCCATGCAAGTCATTCTGATTTTTGGCTTTTATTGGGTATCTGAAAATTTTACGAGAGATTTTACGACATAAATTTGATTTAAAGAATTTTCATAATAGAAAATTGTTTTACGATTCATTACTTTACTTGATCCACACTGTATTTAAAAATAAAACTGCATTTGGTGACAAACAGAATTGTTTATGATGAAAAACTTTACCTAATTAAATAAATGGTATTTCTTTCATGACAAGTATTACTATAAGTGCCTGTTCGTCGTCACCATTTATTTCAATCACTTCATTACAATTAACCCCCCCATAATAGGTGCTAGTTAGGGTGTGTTTATGTAAACGAAGTGTAACATGACTATGACACGGCCCACTTTAATAAACATAAGGCCAAGAAAAAAAATATTTACAGTTATCCAAGCAACCCTTTATTCTATGCACAGACCCAAATATTTTTTTTGTCATAAAATCTAGAAATTGCATGTTTCCTTCAAACATAATAGTTTATAGGTCACAAGGTCATTTTTTCAAAGCTTTCAGGTAGATTATAAAAAAATATTTTATGGCTCTGCTGGAAGAAGAGAGCTTCAAACTATCTTTAAAAAATGGCTTTCAAAGTTAGTATATATATATGCCTTTTATCATGTGAAAAAAAATATCAAAAAATAAAATCCTACCCACAGACCCTATTTTTTATCAGCATTTAATAGTAAACAAACATTTTTTTCTTAGGCTTAAGGTTTAGATACTTGTAATCTAATAGTAATATAACAAAAAAACAAACAATTTGACTCGTAATGTTATTCATTGGACCTCCATAACACAAAATCAATGACAATGCACTGTTTACGAATCAGAATATTAATTGAATTCAACTACAAATGTCTTTTATCAAAATGGCACCCTAGCATTGGACAGAAGAAGACGTGAATGTTTATTTACTGAATTAACATTAATTCGATAAAAATCAAATTGTATGTAATTGTACTTATGTTGTATTGCTGTTTAATTGACTTAAGGTTTTGTCAAAGGTCAACATGTCCAAAAATTTATTTTTACAATAGCTCCAAAACTATGTGGTTTATAAAGTTAAAACTTTTACAGTTTATAAATAAATCATTGATTAACAGATAGAAAGTATCATTTGATAACAATTACTTTAAAAAAGTATTTATCGAGAAAAATTCTTTTTAAAAAATGCATATATTTTTGTAAAATGCACCTGCTTAATTCTGTACTTTTAGTGAAAAGCATCATTGCAGAAATAATATATGTTTATCAATGAAGGGCAAGTTGGACTTCGATGACCTCTTGAAAGTTGTTTTCCCTGTTTATTTTGTCCAAATGTTAAGATTTGAAACCGAAAGTACATTGCAAATGGGGGATTTTATAGGGGTCTTGTCTTTATACATGTACATGTCATGCTTTCAATAACAGCCTTTAAGAGACCATTCACGTCTAACTTGCCCTTCATTGATAAACATATATTATTTCTGCAATGGTGGTTTTCACTAAAAGTACAGATTTAAGCAGGTGCATTTTTTTTTTAAATGTGCAAATTTTTTTCCTCTAAAAATATTTTTTTTTAAACATTTGTTTTCAAGTGATACTTTCTATCTGTTAATCAATGATATATTTATAAACTGTAAAAGTTTTAACTTTATACCTCACATAGTTTTGGAGCTATTGTAAAAATAAATTTTTAGACATCTTGACCTTTGACAAAACCTTAAAAAATCCAGTATATATATTATATAATTACTGATGATATTAAAATGTAGATGTTCGGGGGAAAAAATTAGACCTGCTCTATCGAAATCAATAGTAGGAATTGGAAATATACAGTCTTTAAATTGCACAAAATCACTCAAAATAGTTGTGAAAATGTGCATCACTGGTCATGTTAGACAGGTGGTTGTTTAATATTGGTAGAATTCATAGGGAAACATTTTAAGAGGTTTTTTTCATTCACATACAACAGTCAGTCGTTTGTCCACAAAAACTTTAACCTTGCCCATAACTATTGAATGGTTGATGCTAGGGCTTCCATATTTCACGTGTAATACTTGTGACAAGACCTTCTGTGAATACCAGTACTTTTTTCCTCTTGACTTTGACCTCAGAATTTGACCTACTTTTGCTAAACCTTACCAAACTTTAACCTTGGCCGTAACTTTTGAAAGTTGGTGCTAGGGCTTTTATATTTCACGTGTATTTCATTTGACCTGACCTTTGTTTACATACCAACAATTTTGACCATTTAACTTTGACATTGGAGTTTGACCTACTTTTGAAAAACTTTAACCTTGGCCTTAACTTTTGAACAGTTTGTGCTAGGGATTTCGTATGTCACATGCATATTCCTTGTGACAAGACCTTTCTTTGGGTACCAACATTTTTGACCTCCTTGACCTTTGAGTTTGACCTACATTAGTAAAATCTTTAACCTTCCTTATAACTTTTGAATGTTTGTCTCTAGGGCTTTAATATTTCACTTATGTATTCCTTGTGACAAGACCTTTCCTTTTGGTACCAATATTTTTGACCTCATGACCTTGGCATATGACCTACTTCTGAAACTTTAACCTTGGCCATATTTTCTGAATAGTTGGTGCTAGGGTTTTCATATTTCACATGTGTAGACCTTCTGACAAGACCTTTCTTTGGGTACCAACATTTTTGACCTGTTGACTCTGGAGTTTGACCTAGATTTGAAGAAATTTAATCTTGGCCTTGAGGTGCCATACAGGGGCATCAATGTTTCACAAACACATCTTGTTTCTTCAGAAAATGCATAGATTGTATTGTTTAAGATTAAAAAGAAAATCATTGGACAGGTGATCGGTTTTAATAGAAAATTGATTGTTTTGCCAATTTTGATGTGGATACTGATGAAAACAAGATGTGTTTGTGAAACACTGATGCCCCCGTATGGCAACTTATAGCAAAGGTTAAACTTTCTCAAATACAAATCAAATATGTTGGTGCCCAAAGTAAGGTCTTGTCTCTAGGAATATAGCTGTGAAATATGAGAGCCCTAGCAGCAACTATTGAATAGATATGGAAAAGGTTAAAGTTTTTCAAAAGTAAGTCGAACATCAAGGTCAAGGTCAAATGGTAAAAAATAATGGTGCCTAAGGAAAGGCCTTCTCACAAGAAATATACTGGTGAAATATGAAAGCTGAAGCACCAATCATTCAAAAGTTATGACCAAGGTCAAAGTTTTCCAAAAGTAGGTCAAACTCCAAGGTCAAAGGGTCAAGTTGGTATCCAAAGGAAGGTCTTGTCACAAGGATTACATATGTGAAGTATGAAAGCCCTAGCTCCAACGGTTCACAAGTTACGGCCAAGGTTAAAGTTTTTCAAAAGTAGGTCAAACTCCAAGGTCAAAGGGTCAAAGTTGTTGGTATCCAAAGGAAGGACTTGTCACAAGGATAACACATGTGAAGTATGAAAGTCCTAGCACCAATTTTTCAAAAGTTATGGCCAAGGTTAAAGTTCTTCAAAAGTAGGTCAAATGTCAAGGTCAAAGGGTCAAAGTTGTTGGTATCCAAAGGAAGGACTTGTCACAAGGATTACATATGTAAAGTATGAAAGCCCTAGCACCAATTGTTCAAAAGTTATGGCCAATGTTAAAGTTTTTCAAAAGTAGGTCAAACTCCAAGGTCAAGGTCAAAGGGTCAAAGTTGTTGGTATCCAAAGGAAGGTCTTGTCACAAGGATTACACATGTGAAGTATGAAAGCCCTAGCTCCAACTGTTCAAAAGTTATGGCCAAGGTTAAAGTTGAGTAAAATTTTGTAAAACTAGGTCAAACTCCAAGGTCAAGGTCAAAAGGTCAAATATGGTGGTACCCAAAGAAAGGTCTTGTCACAAGGAATACACATGTGAAATATGAAAGCCATAGCTCCAACCAATCAAAAGTTATGGGCAATGTTAAAGTTTTTGCAGACAAACAGACAGACAGACAGATGGATGGACAGGGCAAAAACTATATACCCCCAAATCTTCGATACTGGGGTATAAAATTTTTTTTTTTTTTAACTGTGCTTGTCAAAGATCAGAAAAGATAGTAGATGATTAGGTGCCCATCCATCTGTCTGTTTGTCTGTAAAGGATTTCAAAAACAAGCATCTTCTTTCAATTGCAGGAATGGTCAATATCTTAACTGCAACTTTACATTATTACATTTATTAAAAGTTCTTATCTAAAAAGTTGTTTTCAAAGGTAGCGGTCATTTCAGTTTCTTCAATTTCCATATGATAATGAGGAGGTCCACTTTTTTTACTGACTTTAATACTTGTAATACATAGTCAGAGCATGTTAGACTGGTGTTCTCCATGTAATGTAACTGTATATTTGTTTACATAAATTTCTGACAAAAGGAGATAAACAGATAAACATGCACACATATTTAAAAAAAAAAAAGGAAAAAAAACCCCCCACATTCTTCTTACATTTGCTCTGTTTATTGTACATGTATATCTAGCTAATTATGTCCACAATGTGACCTGTTGAATTTTACAATTCACCACATGATTTATAACATCACAACTTAATAAATACTTCAAAGGATCACTTCTAGGTTAATATAGGCGTTGACCTATAGGGCCGATATTGGTTTCAGTCTTTAGAAAAAGCTTATCGATATCCATTCCAGTCCCTGACTTTAGGCCACATGCATGTAGTTTCTTGCATTTGTTTCTCATGTATCATTTTAGTTCTAGTCAACTGTGTCTTCAAATGACCCTACATCGGTATAATTTTACAGATACATCCTTTGTATGAGGGTCCTTACTTGATGCCTGGGTAATGGCAACGGGGCATAAAACATTAACTGACCTTACCACGTTCTTTTCTAATCTGTAAACCTTCCTCCTGCATTTTTGACATAACATGTCGCCAATGCACACAATTTTCCCGAGGAATGAACTGCATCTACTCTGCATAGCACAGTATCTCTCCCAATGGCAAAACAGTACTATTACCCAGAGATGCTCTTGAAAGACAAACACAGCAATTTTTGATGACACCTGCAGTATCGAGTAACACAAAGTGTATGATTCGTGTCCTCGAACAAAGTGTGCTTACACTGAGGTATAGTTCCGGTTGATTGCGTTAAGTTAAAGAGAATTTATAATCTGCATTTCCATAAATGTCTTTTATATCAACAGCAAACATACATTTAAGGAAGAAAACCGAAATAAAATGCAAAAGCCTGATAAAAAAAGTTAAATTCGTGTTTATACAGGTGAAAAATTTTGAAAAAATAAAAGTGTTCCAACAGGTGGATTCAAATCAGGACACTAAAAATGTCCATGGTGAGAGTCTGTGATCTATCTCTCTGAGCTATACTGACTATGAAAATATTCGTCATAAATATAATCCAGTATGATAGAAATAGGTTTTCACATTTTTGTAGGTTTTTTACAAATTTCGACCCTAAGGCAGGGGTGCCCCTAAAAAATCTTGTTTTAAATCATTCTTTAGATCAAAATCTATCAAAATTTCACAATTTAATTTAGGGGCAGGCCTGCCTTGAAGGACTTCTATGCCAAAATTCACGCAAAAATTAGTGCTTTAACGAACAAAATACTGTTTTGAGCAACTTTGGAGGTTAATTTCAAAGTTGCAAATAAAAAAAAATTAGGTTCAAAATGCAAATTTGAAAAATTTAGACAAATATATGATAGAAAACAACTAAAGAACATTGATTTTTAAATGTGACTTTTTCCGGAAAATTGTTCTCTCCTATAGGTCAAATCTTTTGTTATAACGAATACATCCTTATGTCACATGATATAATTTAAGTGTAAGGTACATGAAGCATATATTTTGGATAATATTGTTTGTCCTTGCCTTTGCATGCTAAAAATCAGCTGAATATAAGTAAGAGTTTAGAAAAAAAAGTGTGGAAAACTAAGTGGGACAGACAAACAGACAGACAGATGATGAGGAAACCCTTAGTCCCTTCCAGTGTCACTGGTGGGGACTAATAATAACTTCTTATTACAGATATTCAATAAATTTAGTTTCAACAGTTAATGTTAAAGTGACTCCAATGTCTGCTAATTACATTTTGCCAGGCAAAGCTTAAAAAATTCTTTGTTTGCAGTTGCCGACCTATGATTTTTAGAGTAGGTAGGTAGGGATGTTCCTTTTTAAATAGATTTTAGTTTTAGGGTTTTTGTTTGATAACAAGCCATGGAAATTTTGGTAGGGTTACTTACGTAAATAACCTCCATTTATAATAATCCACTTACTGGTAAAAACAAAAATAAAAAAATAGAAAATGAAAAAGCTTTCAATATCCTGAAAAATAAAAAATTTTCAAAAAAAAAAAGTTCTTAAAAATGGCTGAAAAAAAGTTTGGTCCGGGTGCATTTTGAGTGGGTCGGTAGGCAACTGCAAACAAATTTTTATTTAGGCCCCAGAGATATGATAATTGGAATGCTCTACCTACCCAGCATTTTGATTAATAAAAAAAAAGAGTAGTCCCATGGATTAGCAATGATTTTACAGGGAGTAGTTTTCAGATGGGGGAATAGTGTATTTTCAGGGAAACAGATAGTAGTATTGTACTCAATCATTTAGTATAAAGTAATGATAGTAGAGGGATAATAAAACTTGAATTTCAGAAATAAACCACAGATCAAAAGTAATTTAGAAGGTAACAGTTTTTCTTAAGGCTGTCTACTGTCCAGATCTGTCCAGGACCCTCCACTGCTATACCACTGGGTCTGATCCCAAGGCTGGTGGTGTCCAGATACCTTAATGCCCGGCCATCACGGTCCACTACATGAATATTTCCATTTCCGGTGTCTGATATCAAAATGTTTCCATTAGAATCATTAGTTAGTGTATGAGGTTTAAAGTTTTTCAGGATGTCACTATTTTTATAGGAAAATCTGTAAAGTCCATACTTATCCATGATTTCGATAGAGTTAGTCTCTGCATCTACGACCCAGATATCACCATTAAGGTTTTCTGTAAGGGATGTCGGTTTAGCAAACAACGCCTCTCCAGAACATTTCTCATAAATGCGCAACACCATCTCCCCAACTCTGTTATATTTTAAAACTTCTCCACAAGAGTCTTCCACTTGAGTCACTGAGATTAGAATTTCACTCCTCCTTGTTACATGAATTCCTGTCACCTCTACAAATTCTACTTCCAGGTAGGGCTTCCTGACATGGTTTGATAAGATTTGCACTATTCTATTTGGACTTTGCTCATCTCTGGCCAATAGAAGTCCATTGGACAGCACTGCTACAGGTGGCTGGAGTCCATGTTTTTCAAAAACTTCCATTTGAAATTGTCCCTTTTCTTTTGTAATCTGGTAGCCAAATTTGTTTCCACTGATGAGTAACTCTTTTTCACTAACTATAGTAACAGAAGAGACATCAGATACCCTGACTTTAAAGTTGGACATTTCAATTACTTTTTCAATGGATATGGATATCTTTACTGGAGGTAATGTTCTTTTTCTCAAATCCTCTGTTGCACTTATACAAAAATGCCCAAAGAAAGTCTCTAGTTTCTCCAAGGAAATTTCACCCTTTTCAAATGAAGCCATTTCAGTAGAAACACTCACCCCCTCTTGCATAACTGTTGCTTCTAATGTTTGTCTTATCTTTGTAAGGAGTAAAGGAAGATTCGTCATGTGTTGATTTTCAAATATTGATTGCATTTTGTTTATGGCTTTTTGCAGCTGAGCATACTGTGCTTTTCTTGACACCAGTAATTTTTTTACTGGTGCTTTTTCATTACTGATCACACCCTGCAACATTCTTTTAAGTCTTTCTTCTAACGTTTCTATTCCTTTCTTGAATTCTTCAGCTTGAAAGTGAATCTCGGATTCCATGGACACTTGATTTGTGTCAATCTGTGACAGCCTTCCTTCTAGAATTTCACACTCTTTAAGATATTTTGGTGTAATTTTCTGATTGAAAATCTTAACTAAGTTTTCAAATTCTTTTGGTTTTCTCCTGAAAAGTTCTTTGAGTTCATCAAACTCATGTCCACGATGGTTGTCTGTAACGCATCTTGTGCAGACTACTGAATCACATGTGACACAGTACATTTCGCAATGCTTACCACCATGGGAAGGACATTTCATGTCGTCCACGATGCCATAAGCAGAAGCTTGTACACGTGATATAATCTCGTGATCTCTAGAGGCTACGCTCTTGGAATGGATTTCACAGCAGCGGTCACATAAGGTCTCTCTGCAGTTCTTACAAAAGCTATCTACATTTTCAGTAGCGTTACACAGGTCACATTTTATAACACACTGCTGTCCTTCTTTTTCCATGTTCAATGCTTGGTCCTAAAATACAAAGGATATGGAGTTTCTAATCTTGCATGAGTTTCAGGATAAATGTTATTTGTATATGGTACTCTGCAAGAACAGCTGAACAATTTACATGTAGGTTACAGTTGTATTAGAGTGTTTTATAAACACACTAAAAATGTTTTATAAAAATGTTTTACCTTTGATGTTTTATTTTCTGACCTTGTTCCTCCATTTGACCATGACTTCACATAATAAAGTTACCCTTAGTTACAGGTGAGCTTTCAAACTGTTTTAATTATGGTATCTTAAAGAGCTTTTTTTTTTTAAAAGAAAGTTTAAATGTACTTGTAATCCCAAATATTAGCACTTACATTGAAAAAAATCTCTGAGAAGAAAACTCTATATGATTTTACAAGATCTGCTGATCTATAAATTAACTGCATTTAGAGAAAATGATTTGTTAGATGTGTTGATAGGATGAATCAACACTATATCATGCTACAAAAGGCAACAATTGTACTGATGGTCTGTTTCATCTATGGAAAAAATATGAACATGTTTCTTGTTCCATGGTATTTTTCTGCTGACTCAGAGACAAAAAAAGTACATTTCTTTTCATGCAAAATAAATTAACAACTTGGGCATTAATATCCTATGGACATACTGTAGCTATAGATTTTACTATTCCAACAAGAATGAACTGTGATTTGCCCTATAATGTTGAAGACCACTTGTGTGCTTCAGTAATAAGATTTGTTGGGTGTTTTATTGCATATAATCTCTTAAATGTTATTCATTATTATTCATTAACAAGTACTTCATTACAAATTTTAATTTGGTATTAAACCATCAATAGTTTTCTGTTCCATACAAATACAAGTACATTTTTGCAAGCCAGCTAAAAAAATATGTTAGTCAAATTGTGTGATGAGGATCATTTTTACAGTTAAACATGCTTATAGGGAAGTGCCAGGGACTAACAGTTATGGTTGGTTATGAATGTAATTTATTATATCCATTCAGTTCACAACACGTTAATAAACTACAGTAAATGAAAATCACTTCACTGCAAATGTCAATCTATTATAAGCATATTTGCTATAATCATGTTTTACTGTATTTTAAAATTTTTAGAGGATGGAGGAAGTGAAACAGAAGTACAAGAGTTACGACCAGCTTAAAAAGGATCTAGAGAGTTTAGAAATGGACATCAAAACTGACCGTGAGACAATCCTCGAGCTGACCAGTATGTTGAACTCCACTTCTATTGACAACACAGAGCGGATTGATATCATGGAAAACTTACTGGACTACATGCATCAGGTGCTGTATCTACATACAAACAAATATATCTGTATATAAGTATTTGTTCTTAAAATCAAGTCATTTTTTCAGTAGATTGCAATTCATGTTATGATCTATTGTCCAATTGCACCACAATAGCAAATATTTTTAGTTGATTTAATTTTGTATTATGTTACATCAAACTTGCTACAAACTGGTCTGACTGTGACATATGTAATATAGCAGTCAGACAGGACCAACATACATGTAGATGGGTTGGGTTAGCAGGGTCATTTCTTTTTTCTGTCACACGGGATTTGTTTCAAGTATGTAATAGAATGCATTGATTTTAACAAGTCAGCATGTAGTTTGGAGCTAAAGTAAAATTTTATTATATAAAAGCAATTTATCTGTGGATTTTCCAATAAATGAATTTTGTTTTTTTTAAACAAATCTATTTTTGCTCCATTTTGATTTGTGGTTTTCTATGAAGGTCATCCACAACTTCTGTCACTCAATTTTGGCATATAGCATCTATAAGTGAAGGGGAACAAAAATTATGAATTTTTGGTCTCCCAGGGCCTGAGGGGTGGTGCTTAAACTATCAAAATAATGCAAGCTTAAAAAATCTTCTTCTTTACTCCTGGACATCAAGAAGTCGAATTGTTGCCGTGATTGTAATTAGCAATAAGTTCTCTTACCAAAATTGTGAAATTAATGGCCCAAGGGTCAGGGGTTCTGGAGTTGTGCAGAGCTCTAATGATCATGTAGTAAAATACATAAAATCTTTTAAAATCTTTTCCTCTCCCCCTGTATTTTTAGCAGATAAATAAGTTGCATAGTTGTGTCGAGCAATGGGCTCTTCCAAAATTGTGAAATTTGTGGCCCCTAGGTCAGGGGTTCTGATGGTGGGGGAAGCTATTGATTAGATTGTGAAAATGCATCCTTTCTTCTTTGAAAATCCTCTCTGCCCCTGGCTTTTAAGTAAACAAACTAAGTGCATAGTAATGATGAGCAAGGGAGCCTCTTCTAAAATTGTGAATTGATCCCTGATCAGGGTGCTGGTGTTACGGTGGGGCTATATTGAATACAGTAAAAGACCCTTATAGTGAAGTGCCAGGGATGTACAATTATGTTTCATTATGGGCTTAATTCATTATATCCCTTCAGTTTACAATATGCTTTTAAAATCAAGGGGAATGAAACTCACTTCACTGTAAGCATCAGTTCATTAAAGTGTGTTCACTATAATTGTGTTTTACAGTATAAAGTGAAAGTGCATTTGATTATTTGAAAAATCTTCTTTGCCTCTGGGTATTTAGCAGATAAACTAAGTGCAGGGTTATAATGAGCAAGGGTGCCTCTTTAAAATCTTTGAAAATTCATGGACTTTGGGTCAGGAACTCTGGTAATGTAGGGGGGAGCTCTATTCATTATATATTCAGAATGCATTATTTCTTTAAAAATCTTTTTCTCTGATCCTTGGTATTAAGCAAACAAACTGAGTGCAAAGGGGGGAGCTCTATTCATTATATATTCAGAATGCATTATTTCTTTAAAAATCTTTTTCTCTGCTCCTTGGTATTAAGCAAACAAACTGAGTGCAAAGTTATGATGAGCAAGAATGCCTCTTCCAAAATTTTGCATTTCATGGGCCCATGGTCTAGGGTTCTGGTGTTAGGTTGGGGCTCTGTTGATTAAATGTGTATAGTGAAATAGCATTATTTGATGATCCTTTTCTCTGCTCCTGGGTATTAAGCAAATAAACCAAGTGCATATTTATTATAAGCAAGGGTGCCTCTTCCAAAACTTTGAATTTCATGGCCCCTTGGATCACTGGTTCTGGTGTTAGGGCAAGGCATTTATAGATCAGATGGTGAACATGCATGGATTTTATAAATATCTTTTTCTCTGCTTCTAGATATTTAGCAGACAAAATCATTGCATAATCATGATAAGCAAACATTCCTCATCCAAAATTATGAAATTTATAGCCCCTGGGTCGGTGCCAGGATGGGGCACTATTGATTATTTAATGAAAATTCATTATATCTGTGAAAATCTTCTTCTCTGCTCCTAGGTTTTAAGAAACAAATTAAGGCCATCTTTAAAATAATGTTTGTTTGCCTTCTCCCAACCAAAGGTAAGAAAAAATTGGATTGGTAGGTAGGTTGGAAAAATTTTTTTCCTCAGAAAATTTCAATATCATTGATATTTTTCAAAATATATTGAAATAAAATTTTACAAAATATATCATTTCCTGGTGGTTGAAAAATTTTTGAGTTGGGCTATGTTTAGCCACTCGGTCAGGAGAGGGCAAACAAACAATTTTTAAAAACGGCCTAAGAGTATAGTTATGACGAGCAAAGGTGCCTCTTCTAAATTTGTGAATTTCATAGCTCCTGGATCAGGGATTCTGGTGTTAGGATGGGGCTCTATTAATGATATAGTGAAAATGCATTAATTCTTTGAAAATCATCTCTGCTCCTGAGTACATGTATTTAGCATATAAAATAAGTGCATGGTTATGATAAGCAAGGATGCTTTTTCCAAATTTCTGCATTTTATGGCCCCTGGGTCAAGGATTCTTGTTTGAGGACAGGGTTGTGTTGATTGTTTAGTAAAAATGCATTATATCTTTAAAAATCTTTTTCTCTGCTCCTGGGTTTTAAGCAAACAATCTAAATGCAGAGTTATGATGAGCAAGGGTGTTTCTTCCAATATTGTGCATTTTATGGCCCCTTTGCCAGGGATTCATGTGTGAGGGAGACTGTATTGAATGTATATTAATAAAAATGCATTATTTCTTTGAAAATCTGTTCTGCTTCTGGGCATCTAGGAGGCAAATAGAGTACAAAGATGTAATAAACAAGGGTAATTTTACCAGATTTGTTAAATTGTAGATGACTTCGTCAAGCATTCTGGTGCTGGACAGTACTTTATCTATATGTATTCAACTGAGAGAAGTTATTCCCCTTTGCTATTCACCTATGATAATAAATCACTCTAATATATTGAATAAGAGATTTGTGCAAGAATTCATACTATATAAAACAAAAAGTAGTTTTACAGTTTTTAATGGTCAGATAGACTTGAAAATAACAGATAAATAAAAATAAAACAAACATACTTTATCTTTGTACTTCAAATGTTTTTTTCAAAGACCAAAAGAGGTCAGTGTGAGATGGAATAAGATGGTTAAACTAATAGTGCACAAGTACTACTGTTTTGTTAAGTTTATATAGTTATAGTGACAAATGGGGCAAGAACAGGCAAGTAAATAGATCTTCTGTAAGACTAGAATAATTATTTTGTTGATTTCTGATCATCCTATTTCTTTTTTTAAGGGAAGGGGGGTGTTACAGATATTTTCATAGAAGTGATATTTTATTATGTTCTAATGCACGAAAACAACAAATATACGTAGCAAATATAACGCTAAATACATATGCAGTATCCATGCATATACTTACATTGAACGACCTATGTCATGAGCATGTGAAAATTGATTTGATAGAATTTAACTTTTTTCTTTGTGAAATAACTTTTACTTGTTGAGCATTAAAATATGCATACTGTTGTATAAATTTGCTACTTAAAATATTCAGAACTGATATAGAAATAGAGAGTAATATTGTGTCTTAACCTGATTGATTTCCCTTATGAGTCTCCATATATACCTAATACCTGTTGCGTAACAGATATGATAATATCTGCAATGAAATAGGTGAATATCGGAACAAAAGATGAACGATTAATTTACAACAAAGTCTTAGTTACCTATTTACATATATTTACTGAAATAAGTGTATGTATATTTTAGATTTTAATAAATTCCCGTGTGTTGTACAGCCCTGATTGCTATATTCTCTGTCTTCATAATGTGAAGGGTGTCATGTACCAGACTAGTTACAGAAAGAAAGGGAAAAATTAAAATGTGTCCTTCATTGATCTGCGTCGTTATACAGCCCATAGGTGTTGTAAACAAGATTCGAGTGAACTCTTTTTTTCTCACATTCATTAGATTTTTAAAAGAATAAAATAATGTATGATTTTCTTACATGGCAATCATCCGTGAAACCTGTATATCTCCTCATTTTCTCTGTACACCCAATGTCACTCCCCACCTTTTTCTTTCTTCCTTGTCTGTGTTTACACTTTGATTAGTTCTTGGTAGCTACGGAGGGCCTATAAGAACATGAAAAATTAAATTCTCCAAAGTCTGTAAAATGTTTAACATTTCATCGAGTTGATATACTTGAATGAAATTTTAAAAAAAGTCCATCGCCTCAATATTTCTTACTAGAATTATATCTTTGTCCTTTGAAATACAGATTAACTCTGACTGAGACAAAGTACCTATAAGGCCTATAGTACTCTCTACCTTTACTTTACTGCTCAATGGTCCTAAGGCTTATAGTACTCAGGACCATTGAGCAGTAAAGGTTCTTTATTGTGCCAACGTGTACCGTGAGACGGGATCTTCGTTTTTTAAGGTCATATCCGAAAGACCCGTGACTTTTATTAATGTCGGGCGCGTGTCGAAGAAATAGTCACTACCTATGTTATACTAGTACGTCTTCGGTTTGACTAAGGGTGTAGCAATACATCGATGAAATATAGAATAAATGCAGGAATATCCCATTAATCTCAGCGAGAGACTAGAAATCTCAACAATATAACAATTCCGAGCTGTACAATAAACCCATGCTGGTGATTGAAGATAAATAGGTAGCCAAACAGTATTGATATAAAATTTTAATTTTACTTATATCATTTTAGTATTTATTTGTCAAACAGTATTGATATTAAATTTTGATTTTACTTATATCATTTTAGTATTTATTTGAACTTTTTTTTTAGATTGACAATGCTATCCTATTTTGTGACATTGGTGGTATGAAAATGGTAATAAAGAGTTTGAATGACTCCGATGCGAATGTGAGGTCCATCTCGGCGTCACTCTTGGCATCATCTCTCCAAAAGTAAGATTAAAACGTATCTGCTGCTGTCAGCGCCGAATCTACAACAATCTGCATTTAAAAGATTGTATTTAAAATGATTCAAAGTTTAAGTGTTCAAAAAATCTCCTCTTTCGCTTTCAGTAACCCTAAAGTAAAAATATACTGTATTGAGGCTGGTCTTCTCCAGCACTTTGTGCGTGCACTTTCAACGGAAGCGGAAGTCTCCGTGAAGAGGAAACTCTTATTTGCACTGTCAGCAATGGTTCGTAACTTTCCGTACGCTCAAATGAAGTTCGGCAAACTAGGTGGGTTCAGCGTCCTGGCGAAGTTGTTTTCAGAGCAGGGACCCACAGAAGATGTGATGAAACTTACCGAGAGGGCGCTGTCCCTGGTTGTTGATTTAATGGAAGAGCACGAATCAGTAACCAAGGACAACAGAGATCATTCTTCCAAGGAGATGTTAAAACAGTATGATGAGTGAGTAAAAAGAGAATGTGTTTGACAATTTTATAGCAGAAAACGTGAACAGTGATCTGATAACATGCTAGATGTTTGTGAACCTAGTTATCTGGAGTTTAATGTTGGTCATGAAATGAATATTAATTACAGTTAATTTGATAACAAACACGTAGTTATTTTAGTTTGAATATTGTTGCCAATTTTGAATTTTGGAACCCTTATTCAAATTATCCATACGAATTATCTAATTTATCATTTGGTATTTTTTTCCCTTGCTTAGAAGAATGTTTTCACAGAAATTTTACAGTTCGTTTCTTCTTCTCTATAGGTTTCCTCTGCAGGATCATCTCATTCAAAATGGATTCTGTGGAATAGTTTGTGATCTCCTAGATAATATTCCACCGCGAGAGTTTGAGAGCAACGTGGAGATTATTCTGAAAGCTGCCCTTAAATTAAAGGACTCGTGTTTGCGGAATTTCAAAGATCATGCTGGAAAAGTCAAATTTCTCCGCGATAACTTAATACATCTTTACCATCAAGACACTGAATTAGAATTTTACAAAGATTGGTCTGAAATTGCAAATAAATTATTTCATTTTTTGATGATGAAGGACGAACTCTGACCAGAATTAAACAGAGAGACTTGAATGAACGTACCAGGTCTTGACAGGTGCTCAGTTTGATACTTGCACATAGTTAGGATGAAGGCCAAGCGGTGTGGAACTTAAATTAACAGGGGTAAAGCTGTAAAAGTGACTAATATAACCGATGCGGTGGTTTGTTGATGATAAAGAAAAATGATGTTGAAATATGTGGTTGTTATTGAAAATGAAAAGATGAAAAATGAGAGAGGAATTTTAGTTCCTACGATTTTATTGCAGACTTCTGTTATTTTTCTTAACTAGAGCTCTTAAAATATGGTCAGCTATAAGGCTTGTAAATGAAAGCGTTCTTTACCTCTTTAACAAAGCATGCAGATGTCTTCGTTATTACATGTAAATGTATCATATAATATGGTTAAACATGCATTAAAGCTGGCATGAATTCTTAAATAATGGAGGGGGGTTCCTGTCTTCGATATGATCAAGTGAAAACACCGTATATTCCATTTATTGAAATATGTTGCCTATGTTCTGACTGTCACTTCCCTCTATAAATCTATACCTAACATGTAATGAACGTTTATTTAAGTAGTGCACACCATGGGATATGCCAGTAGACCAATTGCTATTCATACCGTCGTGTTCACTGAGTAACGTTGATTATTTTTTAAACACCTCACAAAATAAAATAATAAACTCTATTTGTAACGCAACAAACACATCACTTCATCATATACATGTGTAGTCTAGGTGGCAGAAGACATTTTTCTGAAAAGGGGGGGGGGGTTAAAACGTTTGGCAATTTTCCTTAAAGAGGCTGGGGGGTTGTGGCCATTTTTAGACTATATTGATCTCCTTTAGAAGAAGAGCTCCATATGAAGATGTAGAAAATAATCAAATTTTAAAACTAAAATTTTTGAAATTTTTCTTTGCCAAATGATAGTTGACAGCTTAAGATATCATATCTAAAAAATTAAGTTAAATCTGGTGGTTAATTTGTTGACCCCCCAGCCTCCTTAATATGGAGCTGCTTGTAAAATGTGTATTCTGTCCACATGTAACAGTTTCTTATTCTAGTCCCTTGAGATATTTGAAGTTTTTAGGAATAAAACATGTACAATCTGTATATTGAATGGGGAACCACAGGGGTTAAATTGGTCCTTAACAGCCCTATGTTGCCTAGGTATTCAGTTTTTAAAAAAAATCGCATTTCGACATCCATGTTGCGGTCATGCTGTTTGGGACGGTTAAAAGGTAAATAAAAGTATCAAGATTAGGGGTAAAATGTATGGTTCATTAACGGATATACTGCTTTAACAGAGCTGAACACGCTTCGTAAAAAGATTCTGTCCGCCATATTCATTCGGTTGGACTATCGCTATATCTGAGGGCCCCAAAAAATACAGCCGCTCACTTGGTCACTGTTCAGTGTAATCAGTTGTCACCGGTGTAGACGGACGTATGCTATACAGCACTTGGTAGCGACAAAAATAACTGTGTGCTTCTTCTAATGCAGGAGAGTAAGATACCAAAGAGATTTACAACAGTTGCACAGGTCAGTGCAGTATACAAACAAACACAAATACACGTCAGTAACTGCAATAAAATGTAAACAAAGATAATGCAAGATAACCAGCACGAACACGGGTCGCCATTCCACGCCGATACCCGTGACAATAAAGCAGTCAGGTGTAACGAATGCGAAGAGTATACCTTGGTGCTGATATCTTAGATAGTAATATCGAAAATGCCTTATGCCTATTTAGGAGTCGTGTTCAGCTTTAAGCGGAGGAACGAACATAATGCAAGAAATACCAAATGACAAATTTTTTTTTTTTTTTTTTTGAGAGTCTTCCAGCAATCTGTCGGAATTCTCATGGGTACTTATTGCGCCCCTTTATAAGCAGATTTATTTTTATATTCACATGAAGCAGAATTTATTTTTTGAAAAATTCTTGATGAAAAGAAGAAAACATTTGCTGTGGCCTTCAACTCGACATCTAAATATATCGACGATATATTATCAATTAACAATAGTTCTTCCATTCATATGTCGAATTTGATATATTCCAGTGAACTTGAAATAAAAGATACTACAGAGCCTGACATATGTTCCATATTTGGATATTTTACTAGAAAAAGACGTTAATGGTAACCTAACAAGAAAACTTTATGATTAACGTGATGACTTCAAATTTTCTATCGTCAACTTCCCTTACTTATGTAGCAATATATCTTTATCACCTTAATATGGATTTTATGTCTCCCAGTTGATTCGATGTGCAAGATACTCAACGTAAAACGAGGCAAATTAGTTGATGAAACAAGGATATCAACAGTCTCGTTTGAAGTCAACATTCCGCAAAGTCTATGGTAGATACAAAGACCTTGTCAGCAAATACAATCTATCATTAAGTCGAATGCTGTCTGTCGTTTTTCATACTAATTGTTAGGCCATTATTTACACACTGAATTGTCTATGGATTTTTCCGTTTGCCCGATCATGACAATGAGCATAGCAGGTGTGACCGTTCGACAGGGGGTGCTTATAATTACTCCTCCATGGCACTTGACCCCACCTCTGATGCTTTTAAAGGTCTATGTTTGCTCTGCTCCCGATTTGTATTGTTTCAAAGGACTTTTTGAGTTTGTCCTCCATATTTCATTGGATCTGAAGTTCTCTGATTTGTCTGTACGAATTTTCTCAACCAGAGAGCTACAATTCTGCAGCTACTCCAGAGTAGCAAGGTCATATTTATTATATTGATATTAAAACTTTCCCATGTTTTGTGAATTAAAGTTTAGATAAAACCTTAGGGCTAGGATAGGGTCATGATATGGTCAATTTTTTTCTTGGGAATAGAGAGGGAAAAAAACTTTGGAAATCATTTGAATAACAGCAGGGTCAAAGTGGCTCAAGTGAGCAGTGTGACCCATGCGCCTCTTTTTCAGGGATTTATTGGATTCGTGAGGAAGAGCAGGGTGTACAAATAAGAATCTTTTGCTACATCTAAGGACCTTTGAATGAGTCAAACTGCACCATATTTGACATTTGCAACTTTCCATCCCAGGATTTGTTACCTTGTACATGATTTGCATCTTAATGGAAATTCCTGACAGCCGAACTGTACTGGAGTGGGCAGACCCCACCTTTCTTGGCTGCCCAAGTGCGATGTGATAGGACCAGCGCAAGAAAGATTGCGCTCTGTGCATCTTACAATGTTCAACAAAACAGCTGTTTTTCTAGGTTTTCTCTGACCAAGTTGGAGATACTTTTAGAGTTATATCCCTTTGACCAGTTGATACACGTATATTGCAATTAAAGGCATATGTATCTAAATTTAGAAGCTTTTACCAGACCCTGCAATCGTTCAATATTAATAAGGGATGCCATGTACTTGTATAATGACATGAATTTAGTATATTTTTCTCTTTTTTGATTAAAATTTTCATGATCAACATCGATATTCTTTTCCTCTTCTTCATTTTTCATGATTTAGGTATTTTTTTCTTTCTTCAAATTTCAGGAACGGACATAGTCCACCCCTTTAAGAATAAATGATACACAAATACTAGTAGACATTTTGTTTGTGTAGGCAATTAACATACAAAACAAACAAGATGCACGAATTTGTAAACTCTGATTATTATTTTCATAATTTGGGTAGGTTTTTTTTTTTTTTTATAAATTTCAGGCACAATTCACCCGTTTGGTAAAATTGAATCCTATTTGTTAATAATGAAATTGACATACAAAACATGTATGATTTTTTTTTAGCTCGCCTGAGCCAAAGGCTCAAGTGAGCTTTTCTGATCAAAATTTGTCCGTTGTCTGTCGTCGTTGTTGTCGTTGTTGTAAACTTTTCACATTTTCATCTTCTTCTCAAGAACCACTGGGCCAATTTCAACCAAACTTGCCACAAAGTATCCTTGGGTAAAGGGGATTCAAGTTTGTTCAAATGAAGGGCCACGCCTTCTTCCAAGGGGAGATAATTAAGAATTCGTGAAAAATTAATGGCATCATTAAAAAATCTTCTTCTCAAGAACCACTGTGCTTGAAAATATGAAACTTATGTGGAAGCATCCTCAGGTAGTGTAGATTCAAGTTTGTTCAAATCATGACCCCTGGGGGTCTGGTGGGGCCACAATGGGCGATCAAAGTTTTACATAGGAATATATAGGAAAAATCTTTAAAAATCTTCTCAAGAACAGCAAAGCCATGATTGGTCATATTAATATGGTAGCATCCTCAGATAGTGTAGATTCAAGTTTGTTCAAATCATGACCCCCGGGGGTCGGGTGGGGCCACAATGGGCGATCAAAGTTTTACATAGGAATATATAGGAAAAATCTTTAAAAATCTTCTTCTCAAGAACAGCAAAGCCATGATTGGTCATATTTACATGGAAGCATCCTCAGATAGTGTAGATTCAAGTTTGTTCAAATCATGACCCCCGGGGGTCGGATGGGGCCACAATGGGCGATCAAAGTTTTACATAGGAATATAAAAGAAAAATCTTTAAAAAATCTTCTTCTCAAGAATAGCAAAGCCATGATTGGTCATATTTATATGGTAGCATCCTCAGATAGTGTAGATTCAAATTTGTTCAAATCATGACCCCCGGGGGTCGGATGGGGCCACAATGGGCGATCAAAGTTTTACATAGGAATATATAGGAAAAATCTTCTTCTCAAGAACAGCAAAGCCATGATTGGTCATATTTACATGGAAGCATCCTCAGGTAGTGTAGATTCAAGTTTGTTCAAATCATGACCCCCGGGGGTCGGGTGGGGCCACAATGGGCGATCAAAGTTTTACATAGGAATACATAGGTTAAATCTTTAAAAATCTTCTACTCAAGAACAGCAAAACCATGATTGGTCATATTTAAATGGAAGCATCCTCAGATAATGTAGATTCAAATTTGTTCAATTCATGACCCCCCCCCCCCCCCCCACCGAACCACTTTTTTATTCAAACTTTTCAACCTTTCAATTCAAGACTGAACTGATTTCTGCTTTTTCCTAGCCATAGTGCTCAGGTGAGCGATGTGGCCCCTGGGCCTCTTGTTATAATTCTGCTTACATAAAAGATGGAGCTGTCACTTAACTGAGTTTTAAAGGTTCAAGACATGGCGTTAGAACATTGCTTTTGAGATAGAGTTTATTTAGAGGAGCCTACAGCATCATCAGTGGCAATCAGTGAATGTATAAAATTCCAAAATCCACACGCTGGCAGTTTATTTGAGAAATATGTGCTAGACAGGCACGTA